GCTGGTTTGCTTATAACAAACAAGTACAAAATTCTTTAAATCTAGGAATAATATAATACTTAGCAATATAAACAACAAAGCTGAGAGAGGCAGTCATACTTCCTACTAATCTAGGACCTATGCTGACAAAATCTACAAATATAATTAAGAAAAAATCAAATATATTTTATGAGAGAATGGGAATACAAGCAGTCAATGATAACTATAGTAACACCTTCATTCCATTCTCTCTACCCTTTGCCTGACTGCACTGATTATCTATTTTGTGGATTCAAAATCCACAAACTTCAATGAGCCGGCAAACCCAAATACTATTAGGAACTAAGCTTTCTAATCTGAATAACCCTGACAACTTTCGAAGAATGACCAAACAGAAAATACACACATTTACTTATGAATGTCAGATTTAACCACAAGAGGGCACCATATACAGTGATTCTAGAGCACACATGCACACAAAAGCCTCCTTCTTGGACCGTTCTTCTTTCCCAAATAAACATGAATAAAAGTATGCCTTATGGCCTAATTTCTCAAGTAACATTGTTCTCTTTATTGAAACTTTCCACTTGGTTCCTTTCTGATATCTGATTCTTATTCCAGAAAATCTACCCAAATAAGAATAAGTGTTCAACCCCAAGCAATTAGGGTTGCCAGAGCATTATGCTTTGTTTCCAAAATGAAAACTGCTCCTGTACCATTAATGGCTCTGTAGAAGAGGCTGTTTAAGAAGTGTTGTATTGCTTGTGATGCAACCAGATACCAAACAAACTCCTACTGAAACTCTTTCCTCTATATAACCACTGAAGTTACAGAATGTTCTCAGATTTTCACTTTGACAAAACACTACTTACATGAGAGCTGTTTGATGGAAACACATGTTTTTCTCTCAACTGTGTATAATTTATGGGACTTTTTTTATCGTGTCAGGAGCGACTTGAGAAACTCCAAGTCGCTTCTGGTGTGAGAGAATTGACCGTTTGCAAGGGCGTCGCCCAGGGGACGCCTGGATGATTTGATGTTTTTATCATCCTTGTGGGAGGCTTCTCTCATGTCCCCGCATGAGGAGCTGGAGCTGATAGAGGAAGATCATCCGCCTCTCCCCGGATTCGAACCTGCGACCTGTTGGTCTTCAGTCATGCCGGCACAGAGGTTCAACCCACTGCGCCACCAGGGGCTCATTTATGGGACTCACTGACCGGGAACCTTCATCAAGGGGGGCGTTGAATGCAATTTTCCTGCTTCTTGGCAAGGGGTTGGACTGGATGGCCCATGAGGTCTCTTCCAATTATTTCTGGATTCCTTGCTACATGGGCAGCCAAGAAGATCTTCAAGCAGTAAAACTGCTATTTCAGGAGGAATGCAACCCTATCCAAACCAAGTTGCAACTATTCCAAATCACTTCAAACCCAAGCTTACAATGTTTATATCTCGTACCTGGAATAAGAGTCAGTGTATTTACTACTATGCATTCCAAAAACAAACACCAAATGTGAATTCTAGTGCAGCAAGCCCTGAAACTGAGACTAAACCCCAAAGTTGGTACAAAAAGGTACTTGACTCCAAAAAAGAACTCATCCGATCATACAGGAACTCTGTTTACCTGTGGTGTAAGTTCAACTTCCAGTTCTCCAGATAAATATTGCCGCTCAAATTCTGCATTCTCTCCAACATAGGAAGATATCATACGTTTAATTTGCTTGGTTTGAAGTAGGAGTCCAAGACCAAAATTGTCTACCCTGTAATGAAAAGACAGTCACCATAAGTAATCAAGTCACAGACAGCTCTGCCCAGCTTTCAAGCACCAGAAAATTAAAATTAGTGGTTTTCTGCTTCTGAAACTCTACAGTGCATTCATTCCTTTCTCTCCTGCCCCATGAATGTTTGGCTTTTGCTTCAGGCACTGTTCCAGCCACCTGTGCTTAAAAACAATGCAAGTAAATCAAATTTACATTTTCTGAGCTACCTGTGTTTATCATTTCCTTCCCTCTTAGGCTTTCCTACTGCATTATTCTAGCTACTGAGTCTCTTCCATAAAAACAAAAGTAATTAATTACATTGGCCAGCACACATTTCAGCGCCCCAAAGGCCATAACTGTTTCTGAGTATATCTGACTTGCTGATTCCAACAATGGCACCAGTTTCCCCTTATCAGCCCTAGTTTTTGAGACACAGAAATATGCCATATACCAGTTGCCATCTGCTTTCCATAAAAATCATGATAACCATATGTAAGAAGCTAGAGTTGAAATGGTCTATCCAATCCCATTTTCTGAACCAATACCCGAAATAACCCCAGGAACAGATCTAAGAACTAAGAGACCAAAAATACTTTTTTGTCAGGCTGATAATCAATATCATCAGCTGATACGTCTTTCCCAAAAAATGGAAAAGAAGAAAATATAACCTAACGTAGGTATGGAGACAATAATCATACACAAAATAGACTCAGAGCAGCCAATGACGTAGAGCAAAATCTGATGTAATTTTATCTAGCCTAGTATGAATCTGTAAAATTAAGATCCAGTAAAAAGGTTGCTCTCTGCTTTGTATTCAAAAATGCAGTAAGAAAACTTTTTCATCAAATTGTAAGAAATGCAGGTGCTATTTCCCATTTCAATGTTACATCACTCTTTGCATTAAAGTCATCCTTGTGCTTTGTGTCATATCACCAACTTTATTATACAGTTGAACCACTCATGAAACAACTGTTTGTATTTTCAACTTCCCAGTTTCCAGTAGTGAAATAACCTACACCATGTCTGACTGCTTATTATCTAACTTCAGCATTGGTTACACCACTGTCACTTAATATTTTGGGGGGTTTTTTTGGGGGGGGACCTATGTGTAAAAACATATTTCAGGTTAAATCGGTCTGCTTGTGAGCTGTGTAAGGAATCATAGACTTGGAAGAGACCTCATGGGCCATCAAGTCCAACCCCCTGCCAAGAAGCAGGAAAATCACATTCAAAGCAACCCCGACAGATGGCCATCCAGCCTTTGTTTAAAAGCCTCCAAAGGAGCCTCCACCGCACTTCAGGGCAGAAAGTTCCACTGCTGAACAGCTCTCACGGTCAGGAAGTTCTTCCTAATGTTCAAGTGGAATCTCCTTTCCTGTAGTTTGAAACCATTGTTCCATGTCCTATTCTCCAGGGCAGCAGAAAACAAGCTTGCTCCCTCCTCCCTGTGACTTCCCCTGACATATGTATGGCCAAGAAGCAGAAGCTACACATTTGATTGTGGTATGTTGTACTTTAGCCTTAGACAGAAACAATATTTGGGATTTTAATATCAACATGCATTTTCCCTCACATCTTAACAAATATTAAAAAGAAACATGGAAGTAGATCAATTGCCATCCAGTAGCACAAATGTTTGGCAAACCTCACTCTGAACTTTTACTTTTCCTTCTTTTTTTTTCTTTTCTTTCTTTCTCCATTACATTGACTTTTTCTATTTATTTATTCAGTTGCTTTCATTATTTTCTCTCTTCTCCACACACACACACCATACCATCTTACTAGGTTAACAGAACTGGTTCATCGTTCCATTCTAATTTGATTAACTTATTTATATCTAATTTTAATTTATTGTATTTAAGTGTATTTTTAACCTAACACATACAGTACTGTTTAATTGGTGTTAGTTTTTTGTATTTGCTTTGTTTTAAATTGATCAAAGTGTATGCCTGTTAATAATTCTTCAAGTAAAAGAGCACACAAATCTTCCTGTACACAGAATATCCTGAACTTACCTCCTGCTCTTTTCAAACAATATGGTTATAACATGAAAAGCAATGCCATCTGCTTTATGACTATGTGGGCCAAAGATCTTCAATCCATCAAAAGAAGTATATTACACAATGTAACAAAATTTGAAGGATTTTTTGTTCCTGGTATGAAAGTGTTATTTCCTGTTTAATTGTGCAGTACTTACTTTGAAAGTAGTTGTTATTCTCCAGAAACTTAGTTTTTATGGCTGCCACAAACTATGTTGAATTGGTTGAGAATCTAAGATACTCATTGAAAAGCTATAGAAAGATATGTTGCAGGATGTCCCACAAAAACAAAGTTTTTGTAGTTTGATAAACTTTTTCCATATTTTTATGATAGAACCCATTAGAAAATGAGATTTATAACCCGGGAAGAAAACCCATGTTACATAGTGTTATGAATGGCAGCCAAAATAGCATTGCCTAAGACAAGTAAGACCTGAAGTAGAGGTTGGACAACATGCTGGATCACAACTCCCATCAGCCTTAATCAACACATTGGTAAAAGACTATAGAAGTTGGAGCAGGTTCCAAGCCTGAGAGGACAACACTCATCACCAAAGAATCACAGAGCTGGAAGTGACCACAGGACCATCTGGTCAAACTGTTTGCCTAACTGTTATACAGAATTAAAACATTTCTGAGAGATACCATCCAAACTCTGTTTAAAGATCTCCAAAGATAACAGAGTCCACTGTCCTATGAGACAGTCCATTCTGCTGTTGAACAGCTCTGACACTAGAGATATTCTTCCGAATGTTTTGGTGGGATATCTTTTATTTATTTACTTTATTTGTATACCGCTATTCTCAGCCCTTAGGCAACTTTTCTGGCATCCGAAATTTACTGACTTGTGTTATAGTTTCTGAAACAAAATGGCTAAAGTCAGGGATGGTGGACTCAAAAAATCAGCTGGGAGAAAGAGCACTTTTTTAATTACCATATATACTCAAGTATAAGCCGACCCAAATATATGCCAAGGCACCTAATTTTACCACAAAAAACTGGGAAAATTTATTGACTCGAGTATAAGCTGAGGGTGGGAAATGCAGAAGCTACTGGTAAATTTCAAAATAAAAATAAATACCAAAAAATGCATTAATTGAGGCATCAGTTGGTTAAATGTTGTTGAATTACATTTTATATAAATAAAAATGTAATGTTTGCTTGTGGGACTAACAGAACTCAAAAACCACTGGGGGAATTGACACCAAATTTGGACACAAGACACCTAACAATCCAATGTATGTCCTTCACAAAAAATGATTTTGTCATTTGGGAGTTGTAGTTGCTGGGATTTATAGTTCACCAACAATCAAAGAGCATTCTGAACTCCACCATGATTGAATTGAACCAATCTTGGGACACAGAACTCCCATGACCAACAGAAAACACTAGAAGGGTTTGGTGGGCATTGACCTTGAGTTTGGGAGTTGTAGTTCACCTACATCTAGAGAGCACTGTGGACTCAAACAATGATGGATCTGGACCAAACTTGGCACGAATATTCCATATGCCCAAATATGAACACAGATGGAGTTTGGGGAAATAGACCTTGACATTTGGGAGTTGTAGTTGCTGGGATTTATAGTTCACCTACAATCAAAGAGCATTCTGAACCCACCAATGATAGAATTGGGCCAAACTTCCCACACAGAACCCCCATGACCAACAGAAAATATCTAAGGTGTAAGGATGCAATCTGAATTATTTAAAACACTGGTGAAACTTTCATTGATTTCAGTGGTCAAAGCTATATATAGACTATTACATATATAAATAAACTATTATATAAATAATAACTATTATTAGCAATACTAGCACTT